GAAGAGCGGGTTTAACCCTGAAAAGGGGGATATGCCCGTTATCTGGGGATGCATGATGACTGTAAGCAGGAGATCCAAAACCCCTCACTTGACCTTTGTGTAATTCTTTCCCTTCCACTGCGTCCCTTTCCCTGCCTGTGACTCATCTTCTAAATGCAGGCTGTAAGCCTCTCAGAGGACTGCCTTTCTCTCTGAACAGAGTAGCATAAAAAATAGCAACGCTGTTGAATAACCAGTATTATTTTTTAACACAAAAAGCCTGAGGACTGCCTTACTGTGTCTGTGCTTCTCTGTCCGGGGATATATTGGCTCCCCAAGAGAACAGCGGAGCAGGTTCTGTCCTGACCCACAACAAGGAGGTTATTGAGACAAGAGGTCTCTGGAGCTGCGCAACTGCAGTACAGTGGGCAGTAGATGTTGTAACAAAAGATAGATAGGCTCTGAAAAAGGCCAACAAATTTTTCATAGCACCCACGTACTTTCTTCCCTATTTCTGACCCGTTTGCAATTGGCAGCATCCCGGTGGTAACTGCGGTGTGGCTTACAAGGGCTCCCAGTAGGAAGCTGCCTGCTTCCTTCAGCAGGGCGCCCAGCACCAGTCTCCTTTCCTCCAGCCTCTACGTGTGCTGTCCAGCTGCCCAGTCCGCTTCGGTTCTCGACACTTGGTGACCCTGATGATCATACTGTTACCTTCCATCCTTCACTTCAGCTCTTGTGTTGTCTTTGACTTGTGGCAGATCTCGTGCTACAGCCAAACTGGTTCCTTTTCTCTTTTCAGATGCTTTTGCCTTATTCGGTCTCCTTACTGCCTGGTACTGTGGAAGACAAAGGAGTGAGAATCAGCGGTGTGTCGTTATCCAGCAAACAGTTTGAGAACTGCTTTGACAGCCAGTAGAAGAAAATAGTGTGATGTGGCCACAGCAAGGGTGTGCTCTTTCTAACAATTTACAGTTGCACTGTGATCCTAACCAGGAGTGATGCTCGAACCTCCCTCTGATTACCTGTATTCTTTTCTCTTGCTGTTACAGCGTTGTTTCTTTCCAACACACAAGTGTTCCTGCAAAAATGCCAAGGTTCTCCATGCAGATTAAAGTAGATTTACAAA